TCACAACACACTACTGTGGAATTAAGCTTCCTTGATTTCTACTTTCAGAAGTATCAGTGCCTGGGGTATTTTTTCTCCTCGCTTATTGAGTAAAGAAAACTGTCGATAACCTGCAAATCAACACAGGATTTCACTTTTTATCATGTGCAAAATATAACAGTACCCACTGCTTAAAGCTGAATAATCAAAATCAAGCACTTCAGAAGTAAAAGCTTTTATAGGGCCCCTTTGCATATCATTTATGTTGTTCAACCTTCCTTGGATTCAGTATCCTTATAGCAGTCTCTGATTCTCTTCAATAGTTTGTTTTTTTTTTTGAGATTTAAGAATGTAAAAAATAAGATAAGTCCTTTCATTAAAAATAAAACATTACCTTCTTGAATGGAATGGAATGGTAGAGAGAAGTATCCGATGAAATCATCCACGTATCTGTCGTGATCATAGATGACAAATCGCAGGACAGCCAGATCAGGCTGGTTAATGACAAACGACACATCTTCATCCCAGCGAGGGTTAAATCCTGTAATTAATACATATCAATTGTCTAGTCATCAAACAATATTATTCTCAAGGAAATAGTATTTTGATTTGCAAACTCTCTGGTCTCTATAAAAGGAAGCTTACACCCATTATTGTCCTTCACAATAATACAGTCATTCTTATTGGACGGAGAGTGAGAGCAAGTCACATGCAGGGGGACAATTTGTGATGTTACCCTCATGTACAAGTGTGAAAAGTTCATTGTCTATCTTCAGATGAAACTGAGCTACAGAGATATGACTTTGTTGTCTCCCTTTTGAGAGCAAAAGCATGTCGCAATGACAAGTACTTAATTTGATTACCGTATAACTGGTTTTTAATGCGGGTGCAAATTTTTGCGATTTGATTCTGAAATAGGTATATTTATTTTTTGCGATTTTAATTTTTGCGATTTCACTTTGACAATAAAGTCTATTTTTATTGAATTTATTACAAGATATTTAAACAATAAAGTCTATTTTTATCTTTTATTGAACAAACCAAAGCAATTTAAAATACAGGTGACTCTCGATGGATTGAACTCCGATCTCTCGAAGTGAACCTCCGGTCCCGTTTTTTTCCTCTATATAACTAAGCAAATTTACTCCTGATCTCTCGAACTTCTATCTCTCGAAATTCTCTATCTCTCGAACCAAAACCTGGGTCCCGTTACACATATTTCATTGAATTTTACTCTCTATCTCTCGAAGTTTTGATTGCGCTTGTATGTACACGCCAATCAAGCGTAAAATAGATGCAGTCTGGACTTACCCGGAAACAGTGAAGGCCTTGGGCTGTTAATTGGGTGTTTACATAGATGACACTACACCTGTGGGTCGTCCGTGTGTTGTTATAATTAATGGGTTATTATTCACAGGGTAAATTAGAAACAAAGTCACAATTATTTTGAATTGAAACCGAGACGATAATTCTTTGAAATTAATTTATAAAAGTTCGTTTCAGTAAGTTCCCATAGACTATGAACTTTCATTTATGATTATAAAGAGTTTATATAATCCCAGTATGGGAAATATTACACAAGAAATTCTTTTCTCAAGGACAGAATACCGATTAAGAAAAATCTGGTAAACACTGGTGAAGGACCCGATCAAGCCGCAGAATAGCCAAACCGACAATTGCTATTCGGGTTTCATATAAATAAATCATGAAATACAATGTAGGAACAAATAAATATTGAATCTTTAGGAATTCGTTTTATTTATTCGAAAAACAATCATTGCTGTTGATATCAAGTATTACCTGTAAAATACGATTGAAAACGTGCAATGGCATTATTTACATATACTTCCGGTATCTGTAAAAGTAGAACTTCGATGATCGCAACTGAAAATTCCAGATTTTATTTACGTATTTTTTTGCGATTGAATTTTTTGCGATTAAGACTTGATCGCAGAATTTCGCAAAAAATAGCACACCGTAGAAAAATCCAGTTATACGGTATTTATTAAATGTTTCAATCGACTCCTGGCCAAAATAATTTGAGAGCAGCTTATAAATGCATACATTCTATCCATATAGAAGTAAACTGTCTTTCTTAAACCAGTATTAGCATACAGTTCTATAGATATGATAAAGGAGCTGTTGTGTATATTGAAAATTGCTGCTCAAAATTTTAGGACCTTATCAAGTGCCTCAATTTTGAACAAGAGATGTTTGTAAAACACTTATCCCCCCTCCCCCCAAAATTGGAATTTTTCTAAGTCCAAAAGGGCATAACTTTGTCAAAAATGGTGCGATCGTACCCAAAACAGAACTTAACCTAGATATTCATCTGATAATTCTTTATACTAAATTTCATTTCAGTATTTGCAACAGCTGTAAAGGAAATGAACGGAAACTGCAAATAATTGGATTTTTTCCAAGTCCAAGGGGCATAACTCTGTAAAAAAAATGGCGCGATCGTACCCAAAACAGAACTTGACCTAGATATTCATCTGATAAATCTGTATACTAAATTTCA